GTGTGTCTGTGTGTCTGTGTGTCTGTGTGTCTGTGTGTCTGTGTGTCTGTGTGTCTGTGTGTCTTTGTGTCTGTGTGTCTGTGTGTCTGTGTGTCTGTGCGTCGTTGTGTCTGTCTGTGTGTCTGTCTGTAAGTCTGTCTGTGTGTCTGCCTGTGTGTCTGTCTGTGTGTCTGTTTGTGTGTCTGTCGGCGTGTCTTCCTGTGTGTCTGTATGTATGTCTGCCTGTGTGTCTGTCTGTGTGTCTGTCTGCGTGTCTGTCTGTGTGTCTGTCTGTGTCTGTCTGTGTGTCTGTCTGTGTGCCTGTCTGTGTGCCTGTCTGTGTGTCTGTATGTGTCTGTGTCCGTGTCTGTATATGTGTCTGTGTCTGTGTCTGTGTCTGTGTCTGTGTCGGTGTCTGTGTCTGTGGCTGTGTCTGTGTCTGTGGCTGTGGCTGTTTCCGTGTCCGTGTCTGTGTCTGTGTCTGTGTCTGCGTCTGTGTCTGTGTCTGTGTCTTGTGGTGTGTTGTGTTCTGTTCTGTTCTGCTCTGATCTGTTCTGGTATGTTGTGTTGTGTTCTGTTGTGGTGTGTTGCGTTGTGCTGTGCTGTGCTGTGCTGTGTTGTGTTGTGTTGTGCTGTGGTGTGGTGTGGTGTGGTGTGCTGTGGTGTGTTGTGCTGTGTCGTGTCGTGTTGTGTTGTGGTGTGTTGTGTTGTATTGTGGTGTGGTGCGGTGTGTTGTGTTGTGCTGTGTTGTGGTTGGGTTGCGTTGCGCGCGCGAGAGCGTGCGTGCGTGCGTGCGTGCGTGCGTGAGGGCGTGCGTGTGTGTGTGTGTGTGTGTGCGTGCTTGTGTGTGTGTGTCTGTGTGTGCGGGGTGGTGGGGTGGGGAGGTGATGTGTGTGGTGTGAATGGTGTGCGTGGGGTGTGTGTGTGTGTGCGTGTGCGTGTGTGTGTGCGTGTGCGTGTGCGTGTGCGTGTGCGTGTGCGTGCGCGTGTGCGTGCGCGTGCGCGTGCGCGTGCGCGTGCGCGTGCGCGTGCGCGTGCGCGTGCGCGTGTGCGCGTGCGTGTCGTGTGCGTGCGCGCGTGCGCGTGCGTGTGCGTGTGGCGTGTGGCGTGCGGGTGTGTGTGTGTGTGCGTGTGTGCGTGTGCGTGTGGCGTGTGGCGTGTGCGTGTGCGTGTGCGTGTGCGTGTGGCGTGTGCGTGTGCGCGTGCGTGTGCGTGTGCGCGTGCGTGTGCGTGTTAGGTGTGCGTGTGGCGTGTGCGTGTGCGCGGGCGTGTGCGTGTCGCGTGAGGCGTGTGGCGTGTGGCGTGTGCGTGAGCGTGTGCGTATGCGTGTGCGTGTGTGCGTGTGTGCGTGTGCGTGTGTATGTTTGGTGTGTGCGGTGGCTGCGGTGCGTGCGTGCGTGCGTGCGTGTGTGGGTGCGTGTGTGCGTGCGTGCGTGCGTGCGTGCGTGCATGCGTGCGTGCGCGCGTGCGTGCGTGTGAGTGCGTGTGAGTGCGTGCGTGCGAGCGTGCGCGTGCGCGTGCGCGTGCGCGTGCGCGTGTTCGCGTGCGCGTGTGCGCGTGTGCGCGTGTGCGCGTGCGTGTGCGTGTGCGTGTGCGTGTGCGTGTGCGTGTGCGTGTGCGTGTGCGTGTGGGTGTGGGTGTGGGTGTGGGCATGGGGGTGGGTGTGGATCTGGGTGTGGGTGTGGGTGTGGGTGTGGGTGTGGGTGTGGGTGTGGATCTGGGTCTGGGTGTGGGTGTGGATCTGGGTCTGGGTCTGGTTGTGGGTGTGGGTGTGGGTGTGGGTGTGGGTGTGGGTGTGCGTGTGGGTCTGGTTGTGGGTGTGGGTGTGGGTGTGGATCTGGGTCTGGGTCTGGGTGTGCGTGTGGGTGTGGGTGTGTGGGTGTGGGTGGATGTGTGTGTGTGTGCGGGTGTGGGTGTGGGTGTGGGTGTGGGTGGGTGTGGGTGTGGGTGTGGGCGTTTGCGTGTGTGTGTGGGTGGGTGTGGGGGGGGGTGGGGGTGTGTGGGTGTGTAGGTGTGTGGGGTGGGTGTGTGTGGGTGTGGGTGTGTGTGGTTGTGTGGGTGTGGGTGTGTGGGTGTGTGTGTGTGTGGGTGTGTGGGTGTGTGGGTGTGTGGGTGTGTGTGTGTCTGTGAGTGTGTGTGTGTGAGTGTGTGAGTGTGTGTGTCTGTCATTGTACGTTTCTCTATACCCATCCTTATCATCGATATCGGCTGTATCTCCCTGCTCGCAGACCCCCCACGTCGCGATTTTGTTCACAACGTTGACCCCTTCCGGACCGGTTTCTCGTGCCGAGTCGTTTTCTGACGGCCCCGAGGCCCGATCAGGGCCCCTGGAAGCCGAAAACAGCGAAAAACCTCCCGTCGTGATTTCTGTCACAACGCGAGGGGGTCTGGGATTGTAACTCCTACAATCCGTAAATAGCGAAAGACCTCCCGTCGTGATTTCTTGACAGCGCGAAGGGGTCTGGACTGTAGCTCCCGGAGGCCGAAAATAATGAAAAACCTCCCGTCGTGATTTTGTTTCACAGCGCGAAGGGGACTGGGACTGTAGCTCCCAGAAGCCGAACACAGCGAAAAGCCTTCCGTCTTGATTTTTGTCCCACAGCGCGAGGGGGTCTGGGACTGTACCTCCCTGCTTCCTGCGCCTCATCCTGACCAGGGCGTCTGGCTTGCTGTATGCTCTATCTCGAGGGCGCGTCAGCGGCCAAGGTGCCGCTGGGATGGAGCGCCCAAACGTGAACACCCTTACAACAACCTCGGAGCGGAGACTCATAAGAGTTGTGCACCCTCCTCAGGGCCCCTTTCAAGAATGGCCCCTATCGAAGGCAGGAATAGCCCAGGAACAGCCCATGGCGCGCGACACCCGCGGCGCCGTCCTCCCGGAGGGAACGCATGGCCGCCCCCAGCCGCTCGTCGTCGCCCGCGGGCGGGCCTCCCGCGCCCGCGGCGCCGTCGATGCCCGCGGCTCCGTCTGGGGGCGACGGCCCAGGGGGTCCCCCGCAGGACCCTCCTCCTCCTCCTCCTCCTCCTCCTCCTCCTCCTCCTCCTCCTCCCCTCCCATCCTCCTCCCCTCCCCTCCCCCTCCTCCTCCTCCTCCTCCTCCTCCCTCCTCCTCCTCCTCCTCCTCCTCCTCCTCCTCGCCCACTCCCTCCTCCTCCTCCTCCTCTCCTCTCCTCCTCCTCCTCCTCTGCCCTCCTCACTCCTCCTCTCCTCCTCCTCCTCCTCCTCCTCCTCCTCCTCCTCTCTCCTCTCCTTCCTCCTCCTCCTCCTCCCCTCCCCTCCCCTCCTCCCCTCCTCCTCCTCTCTCCTCCTCCTCCTCCTCCTCCTCCTCCTCAACCCCTCCCTCCTCGCCCTCCTCCATCCTCCTCTCCTCCTCCTCCTCCTCCTCCTCTCTCCTCCTCCTCGCCCCCTCTCCTCCTCCTCTTCCTCCTCCTCCGTCTCTCCTCCTCCTCCTCTCCTCTCTCCTCCTCCTCCTCCCCTCTCCTCCTCCTCTCCTCCTCCTACCTCCTCTCCTCCTCCTCCTCTCCTGCTCCTCCTCTCTCCCCCTCCTACTTCCTCCCGTTCCTCCGTTCCTCCTCATCGTCCTCCTCCTCCTCCTCCTCTCTCCTCCTCCTCTTCCTCCTTCTCTTGTTCCTCCTCATCCTCGTCCTCCTCCTCCTCCTCTTCCACCTCCTTCTCTTCCTGCTCCTGCTCCTCCTCCTCCTCCTCCTCCTCCGCCTCCTCCTCCTCCACCTCCTAGCCATAGGGGGCCACATGCGAACGAAGTGAACCCCACCCTCCCCCTCAGAAATCGCGGGGGGGTAGGGAGAGGGTTCGCATGTGGCCCCCTAAGCCATTCCTCACTGGGGAAGAGGGGCTCTGGCTATCAGCCGCCAACTTGGGAGTATCAGTGCGGTTGATGAGCCATCAAGAATGGTGGGCCCCTGTGTCCGCAGCAGCAGCGCTGTGACTAGGCCCCGCCGAGGCACGCGCGCACGATGACGTCCTCGTTTCTCCCCCGTCTTTCTTTCCCCCTCTCGCCTTGTCATCAAAGACGCGCGGTGCGAATCACCGTCCAGGCTGAGAGCAGGTCACCAGATGGTCTCAGAATGCCGGTTAGGTTCACCTATGACCTGAACAGCAAGTGCGCAAGAAACCGAGCGGAGCCCAACGTGAGCAGCTACAACAACGGCATCCACAAGAAGCTTGAGCTCGATGCCAGGGACGGCAGCGCTGGGATCAGGGAGAGCGCCGGCGAGACACCTAGCTGCGAACAGCGGGAGGTGAAGTCCGAACCCGATGTCATCCGCTACACAGCTGGCGCTGGCGAAGGACGAGTGGCGACGGCAAAGGACGAGGCCGACGTCATCAGCCATACTGCGACGATGAGGAGCAGCGAGCACGAAGGCGACGGACGGGTCGGCGAAGTACGAGCCCAACGTCGTCAGCTACAGCGCGGCGACGCCAGACAGCCACTGCGAGCGTGAGCGAGGGTACGGCGAAGTACGAGCTCAATGTCATCAGTTACAGCACCGGGATCAGGGCACGCCCATTGGCGGCCTCGCGTCGACGTGAGAAAGGCGAACAAGGGGCAGCAGGCTCTGGCGCTGCTCGACGAGAAGGTGCAGGCGAAGCGAACGCCCGACGCCATCACCCGCAAACCTGGGCTCAAGGCGAGCGAGAAGGCCGAAGTCCGATCCTGCGGGAAGCGGGGGCGAAGCGGGAGCCCAAACTAGTCACTGAAAGTGGAAGGCGAAGCTGGAGCCCAAGGTCGTGTAAAACTTGGGCGAGAAGGGCGGGCAGTGGCAGCAGGCTCTAGCGCTACTCAACGAGAGGTAGAAGGCGAAGCAAAAGCCCGACGCCATCAGCTACAGTGCCCCAGCTGGAGTCCGAACGGGACGGCGACAACGCTGGTCAAAGCGCGGGCGAGACAGGCGAGCGGTGGAAGCAGGCGCTGGGCGAGATCAGCTCGTGGGGGCATGTTGAGAGAAGTGCGAGAAATCTGCTTCCTAGTTGGCTGGCGCGGCGCGGGAACGGCCCGATGC